GGCTTAGAGATCATCGTGGCGGTGGCGACGGCGAGAGGCTGTGCGACGCGGGAGGGCGAGAGGGAATTTTACTCGGCTGCAGTACGATGGAGTATATTTAGGAAATTCTTGGGGGATAGGGAATTGGAGTAAAAATTATAATCCATTAATGTTTTTAGGGGATCGGTTGGGTCCGCCGTAAGGGAGTAAACCGAAAACTTTACTTCCTTATGACCGTATTGACAGCTCTACAAAGAGAAACTAGAGCTCGACGAAGGACACTTGCAGTGCAGTTGTAGTACAGTAGAACCTGATGTTGGAGCTCGTTAATCTGGGACTAATTCCTTTTGCTGTCACACTGCGGACGTAGTTAATTCGTGCTCCAGACATTTGGTGGAGTGATACGTTTGGTCCAGTGGGTCATTTGGTCGAGAGGTCAACACATATGCTGATTGTTGGAGAATCGGACGTGGAGGGTTCAGGTTTCCGATTTCGTGTCTGCCATTTTCCTTATGTTCATCAAAGAGTGGGGCAAGAGATTAGGTCGACGTGCACTCTCCTGCCTTCTCCGGGCCAATTGCACCGCCTGCATTTTTTCTTTTCTTTGAGTAACTGCTATGTATCCCCTACTACGAGGCAGACATCTGGCTCGCCTCTAGCGCAGGGGGCTACTGGCCGGCAGTGGACGCGTGTCTTTTTCTCTATGTGGTTTCTTATTGATTTTTTCACTATTTGTAGCAGTTTTCTTCAGTTTTTTTATCTTTTAACTCTATCTTTTTTCTTTCTCTGTTTTTTTTCTAGCACATGACTGCATTTTTTTGTATGCACTTTACATTTTTTTCTGTTCACCAGGAACATTTTTTCATGCATGTTTAACATTGTTCAAATACATGATTAACTTTAAAAAATATGTTTTCACTTTTTTGCATATATATTGTAAATTTCGGCACATATAAAAAAATATAAAATTTTAAAATTTTCAAGTACATGATTAACACTTTTTGAAATACAATTTTTAATACATACTTAACATTTTAAAATACACTTTGAAACATTCTTTGGAATAATACAAAATATTTTTAAAACTATGCAGACATTGTTTTACATTATGTACTTTTAAATGTCAAAAACCAATTTTTTAAAATTTGTGAACATTTTTAAAAAAATGGTATCAAATAATTTTTAATTACAGGATCATTTGTTTACGTTTCATAATGTATTAAAAAAGTTCACGTATATATATTTAAAAAAGTGACCTGTGTCAACATGTTTTGAATGCTATCAAAGTTATTTTAAATTACACTAGATAATTTTGTACAATGTGTCAACATTTTTCTTCATAATGAACGTTTTTTAGAATTTGAAATACGTTAAGTTTTTTGGAATATACTCCCTCCGTTCCATAGTGTACTGCATATAATATTTTTTAAAATTCAAACTTGACTAAGTTATTAGAGATAACTATTTATATCTACAATACCAGTACCAAACATATGAATTATAGAAGTTCATCTTAAAATTAATTTAGTGATATAAGTTTGACATTCTAGATGTAAAAATTTTCTCCACAAATTTCGTCAAAGTATGATGCTTGGCTTTCAAAAAATCTATATGCACTACATTATGAAACAGAGGGAGAATTTATTTATAATATTTCGCAAAATAAAAAAATAAAAAACGGAAAAACGGAAATATGGACTCGTGACTTGGGGCCTATGTTCACCGGTCAATCTGGGCCGGAGAGAGTGGCAAGTCCAACTCGCACGCAACACAACAAACAAAAATCTGGAGATATTTCCCGGTCCGGTGGGCTCCAGAAGCCGTCGCTTTTGTCCCGTCACACGGATAAGCCTCTCCGGTTTGGCTTCCGCTTGAGCTTCCGCGCCTTGCTTGGTCACCATTGCCGTCTGCTCGTAGCCTCGCGTTCTTGGATCGGTTCCACGCGCAAACCACGCCACCCGTTGGAAATCTACGAGCTCTCTCGACGCCGCGCGCGGCTGCCGCGTCCGGGAAGCCATCGAGCCAATGCCGCTGCTCGCGCCGAGCCCGCGCGCGCTCTGCCGGGACCTCTACTGCGCCGCCGCGGCGCGGGAGCAGTCGGCCCCGTCCTCCGTGCCGGCGTGCTCGACCGTCGGCGGGGCGCGGCCGCTGGGGCTGTGGCGAGGCGGCGGTCGCGGGGCGAGGGCAGGGAGAGGGGTGAGGGCGGAGGCGGCCTACTTCTGGGACGCGTCGGTGCCGGTGGAGATGGGCGAGATCGACAGCATGGAGAAGCTCGACGCCGCGCTCGCCTCCTCCGCCGAGCACAACCAGCCCATCATCATCGACTGGTACGACACTATCTTATACCCTATCCCCATACCAATGCAGTGGCAGTGCAGCTGCCCGTGACTGCCAGCCTTTCTGCTCTGTACTGTTGCTCTGGTATTCAACCATTTACCTCAGTCCTCGGATCAGACGCTGAGGCTTCAGTGTGTTCTTGCCAGGATGGCAAGCTGGTGCCGGAAATGCATTTACCTCAAGCCCAAGCTGGAGAAGATAGCAGGAGAATTCCCAGGGTTGGCCTGAATTCCTTGAAATGATTTCGTACTGTGCTGTGTTGATGCAGTTTCATGATTCTTCGCTCTGAGATTCGATATCCACAACAATCAATCGTTGTGGAATGTGCAGAAGCAATCTCTTGATTCGGACAAACAACAACATTTTGTTTCTTTTGCAGAGTCAGGTTTTACTTTGTGGATGTCAATAAAGTTCCACAGGCCGTGGTAAAAAGAGGGAATATAAGCGTAAGTCAGCAGACTTGAACTTAGCTTAGCCACTTCATTTTGAAAGGGAAATTTGAGTACTAATCAATTGGTTCACAACGACTCTGATATCATCTGACCAGTTTATTTATTTGAATTCTGTCATTGCGCCCATCTGTCTCTGCATCTACCTTCAGAAAATGCCCACTATTCAGGTAACGTCATACGTATTTGTTTTCTGAAGTTCTGCATTTGTCCCTTTATGATTGACGTTCTGAATTTCTTATGATGATGCTTGCTCTTATTAATTTCCAGCTGTGGAAGGACGGAGAATGGAAGGAGGAAGTGATAGGAGGCCATAAAGCGTGGCTGGTGATGGATGAGGTTAGAGAAATGATCCAGAAGTACAAGTGACTGATTACATAACATACTGTATATAGAGGTTTGAGATGATCTCCTCGGACACTGTAACCCGATCAATAAAACTATATTCCAGCTCCTTAATACGTGCAACAGAGCTGGCCTATACTATTAATCTGTTGCAAGATTTCACTTGAATACTTCTGTTCTGTATTGATACATATGGTGCATTGATCAGAAGTTAATACCTAGAAATGAAACAACAATCAGGAACACTATATTTCACAATTCATTGGAAACAAATTCTGAAGAACCGAACAATCCACATTCACAATTTATACAGAAGAAAAACTGTAAAGAATCAAATAATTCATCATCCCCATTCAAATCAATGAACATATCTACAAGGCCCCAGATAACCTGATTTACATGAGAGTTTAACAAATACCATTCTCAAATCTCAAACGGTCAAACCACGATAACAAACCCAGGACAGTTCAGAATTACCAAGCTCGCTAGTACTATAGCTACCCATCTGGCGTCAGAACTAAGCAACCGCTCCAGCCTCCAAGCTGCTCAATCCTCTTTGCGGCTACCCCACCGGCGCCACGACCACGAAGAATACGAAGACAGCGAAGGCGAGGGCGAGTCGTCGTCGGTGCCGACGGGGACGTCGGAGAGCGGCGCCAGGACACGCCGCACGCTCATGGACCGCATGGGCCGGAAGCTGAGGGACCTGAGCCTCTTGTTCTTGGAGAAGACGTCGGAGGAGTTGGTGAGGATGAGGTACACCAGCCCCTGCACGAGCAGGAACACGGCCACCTTGATCAGCACGTCGCGGAGCTCCGGCGAGATGAGGGCCACCTCCATCATGGTCACCGGCGGCGAGGGGTCGACCGATCAACCAGTCAACCAAAGAGGCTGGCAAACGAGATGCGTACGGGTCCCTTGTGGCTGATGATGAGGCTGTGATTGTGTATCGATTATTCGATCTGGATGGTGGCCTTTGCCTGCTCGGCTGCTCCTTATATAGAGCCCCTCGCGCTTGGCTTGTGCTTGTGGATTGCTGTGGCATGTGCGATGGCGAGGTGTGGTTATTTTACTCTCGGTCGTGTACGCAAACGCAAGCGGTGAAGGTTTCGTGGGCGTCTGATTGGCCGCGTTGCTTTGCCGGGAAGGAGAGGGCGGCGCAGCTTGCTGCAGCTGTGGAACCAGTCTTTAGCTTCACGTTTTCATTTTCTCTTTCTTTTTTCTTCCTACTTTTGGTTTGGGACCTCGACGTGGTGTTGTCGTGTCAACATCTTCGCGCCGCTGGAATGGTTTGACCCGGGGGACGTGTGTCGTGCACTCGTGTGAAGGCTGCTAAGATTGCTTGGCCGGCTTGGGGGAAAGAAACGAGTGACGTGGTGTTTGTGATTCTCGAGACAGATGGATAACGACTTATCTCATCCATCTACACTTGTCCAGGAAATCCCATCAGAATGTATTCTGGAAGCAGTGGTTTCCAACACACGGACGTAATTAGGGAGCACTCTACGTGCCAGTTTAATTCGCTGAACACGTTTTGTTGGTTATTAATTAACCACAGGGTCAGGGCGTGGTTGGTAAAGCTTCGAAAAATGACCATGTCGCCGCGCCCATATCTTCGGTTTGACCAGCTACATGTGGCTAATCTTCCCTGTACGCGCTAAGTAGTAGTACTTGTTTGAGTGCCTCGTACCAAGACAGTCCTGCAAGTTGTTAGTATCTCTTTCTAGAATATGTGTTTTGACCGTCGGTCGATGCATCCCCACCCCAAGGTTAGTTTTATACGGGATTGCTATCTCGCCTCGCCGATTCCCGGATGCTACTGTGGGCTATCCCATGGGAACCTTCCGGCCGGGACCCGGCCAGCGCTCCCATGTGCCGCCTTGATCTGCGTTAGGACGCCCGCCCTCGTTGTCTTGCCCGCACAAGCAAAACACCATCGGCACCGACTCGCGCTGGCAAGATAGGCAGCGCGCCAGCTAGCTAAGGTTTTCCCTGACGCGGCTTGCGGCTTGCGGTTTGCGGGCCAAGCAAACGTGCGCCGGCGCCGGCTGCCAGTGCCAGACACCCCGACCTGGTTGCTTGCTTGGTTTCTGGTGGGAGATGCTTTCAGAAACAGTTGAACCAGCTGATGGCGGTGATGCTCAAATTTTTTGTCCAAAACGACCGCCTCACCGACGAAATTCACAAAAAAGACCGCCTCTAATACACATTGTTGAAAAGTTGTCGAAAAGGACCACCTCACTATCGGAATTGACAAAAAAGAACACCTATGAGACACATTGTCGAAAAGGACCAGCTAGGCCGTGGCGGCAGGCGCGCCAGCCGACACGTGTCACCTGCCGCCATGGCGCGAGGCGGCAGCCCCTGTTGCCAACCGGCCAGGCGGCAGGCTGCATATCACATGATCCCAGTCCCTCGACGGAATGGAGCCCTACCGGTGGGCCCTGCCGCCACCAGACGAGGCGACACCACTGTTGGTACGGCGTGCGACGCGTCACCGCCACAGGCTGTCGGTTGGTGACGTTTGACGTTTCTGCTGACACTGATTGGAGTGTTTTGGATCACTGCGTATTTTCCGCCATAAATTTCGTCCATTAGTGCCCTATTTTGCCGCCAGCACATTTGTCATCTGAGCAAACGGTACATTGAATCTCTCTTCATTCACCAAGGTGAAGGAGCTGACGGATTTTTCAGATTGCTTAGGCATGAAGTTTTTCATGTGCGCCAATTATGAGAAAGATCCACCCGTAGCTAGTTCATCATACGACAAGCCTCCGGTATGCTTTAACCATCGTGAATAGACATCATGTTGGTTTTTTGGTTGATTTTTTATTAACATTCTTGTTCTTGTTGTAGTCTCCTACTCTCCTCCGCCTCTGTGCATCTAGATTGACACGGAGATGCCGCCTTAGGCATTGACTGAGATTCATCAAAGAAGTTGTCGTGCATGGGATAATTTCTATGCGGAAGAGCGACATGAAAAGGTGGCAGTAGAGAGAGAGAGAGAGAAAGAGAGAGAGAGAGTGAGAAAGAGAGAGAGATAGATATATAGATAGATAGAGAGAGAAAGAGAGTTAAAGAATACTATGCCGAGCAAAAGCGTTTCTTTCAGGATTTAGGGAAGATGCTCGTCACATGGAGAAGCAGGAACGACATCGAAAGGAGGCTCTTGAGGCAAAGAGATAGAGAAAGAAAGAAAGAGCTCGTGAGACCAAGCTAGCAGAAGAAGCTGACGATGAAAAAGGAAAATATCCGTGCTGGACTCAGTAGTTTTCCGCGGTAATATTTCAAATTTTGGAACCGTTTTTATCTTAATTTTAGCAGTTAATGTAGCTTTATTTCATTAGGTCAGTGTATTTCAATAGTTCAACGTATCTTATTTTCAGTTGTACTGTGTTGTAATGAAAAAATGTAGCTTTGAAATAAAATATGACTTTTTCTTCCCGCCTGTTGTTTTCACGCCATAAACTCACCCTGCCAATTTTCCCCGCCATTTTTTTCGACCAAATTTCTTCCTGCCATTTCTTTCCCGCCTTATCTTTTGCCTTGACAACTCTATAAAACCACCCTCTAGCATGTTGTGTTCTGCATCTTTCTATAGCCATTTATCTAGCCATGCCCGATGCCAACTCTATAAGACATGCCCAGAGTGCCGCATCAGCTAGGGGTGCCGCAACCTCAAAGAAAGTGAGCGCAGACGATGATGACTTTATGCCAAGCAAGCAAGCTGAAAACAGATCAAAGGGCCGAGTTGCATCAGGGATGGGTGGCGCTAGCTCTAAGAACATGAAGAGCGATGATGACGATGACGATGACTTTATGCCGAGCAAAAGAGATCAGAACAGATTCTAGGGTAGTGCAAGCTGGAAGAGGAGCAAGTCAGGTAAGAGTGCTACGCCAACAAAGGGCGTTGATGCTGATTACGATTCCGTTGATGAGTTTATACCAGGGAAACTACTTCAGGTAACTCTTGGACGCAATCGTGAAGACCTCTAGAAGCCCCATGTTAGAGAGAATAGTGAGGATGACTTCATGTAGTTTCTGTATGACGATGCATCCGCATTGTGTTGTATCTTTATTTGAGATGTACTACTTTAATGTCATAATTCGGATGCATTTTTATTTCCTCATACATAGATGTCTCTTACATACATCGGAAAAGTCTGAAACTTTCATAGATAGGTAGAATAGGCCGCACCCATAGATAGACGAATCACCATACTCGACGACGACCAATTAGTCTTTCCTGACGTCCGGAAGGCGACATGCGATTAGGTGGTCGTTGTGCACGAAGACCACGGCCGTACTCCCCCTCATCTTCCTGTGTCTGTGACTCCTGCATAGGTGGTAGAATTTGCAATCCATATTGAGATCCTAATGCAAAATTGTAGGTGGTTGGTTGTGACTCCGGAGGGATATAAGATGGGCATATAACATTCTCATGGAAGAAGTCTGTAATTATTCCTGGAACCATGTTGCCACGATCATGGGATGCTAAGGATGTCTGTGTTGAGGCCACATTGGGTGTCCTCATCGTGCCATGCAGAATAAGTACTTTCCTGCACAGAAAAACCATATTTTAATACGAGGCACAAAAATGTTGTATGCGAGTAATTACTTATTATGGTTAAACATACTTGAGTGGTGTCATAGCGTTGTGACCCCTTGCTTCCCGTGTATGGCCATTGTCCGCTGTACTGGTAAAAAAATTGTTATGAAAATAAACCATTAGATGATAATATATTATATCATTGTAAATGCACAAAAAATGCAGACATGAGTACCCGCTGAGACCCATCCCATCCAGTGTATGGCCATTGTACGTCGTACTGGTTTATCTTTGACAAACGAGTCTTCTCTGGCATCTAGATCCCTCGCGTGGCGAGATAACAAAGTAGACCTATGGTTTTCTAACTATAGAACTTATTAATAAACATACCACATGAAATAACATCACATTTAATCATGCAATGACCAATTACAATACAAACTATTTCTTAATTAGCATATTAAAACTTATTGCA